TCGCATAAAGCTTTACATTTTTATTTGTTATTTTACCAATTGACCTTCTGGAACAGAAGAATTCATTTTAAATTTCTGATTTCTATATTTTTAGGATGCCTGCAGAGATGCAGCTGCGCATTGTAAGGAAAAGGGGAAGAACATATCTAAGGTAGCTCTACAGTACAGCTTGATGAATAAAGAAATTGCTACCATACTGGTTGGTATGAACTCTCCTAAGCAGGTATTGATTTCATTTTGTTCTACCAATATTAATTATTAGTAGCCATGCTTTCCAAATCTCTGTAGGTGCTAATCGCCTTCATATTACCAGTTCTTCTGAATGTGCTTTTAAGACTCTAAACGAAATGCATTGTTAACCTAATACCAATTACAAGAACCAAACTAAATATTGATTACAAGAACCAAAATACTATTTGTGAATGGATAAAATTGGATCAGATGTTTGCTTTTGGTTATAGAAGATTTGGATCTTATGAGAAATAATATTTTGACAATTTAAGCAAACAAGACTAAAAAGTCTTAGACTGACAAGCATATGTAACTTAAGCCCCACATAATCTGACTTTTTTGAAATCCATTCACGGAGACAACTTCATGTTTCTATTGTGCAAGCAAAGGAGGTGCTTCATTCATGGGCATATATTCGTGGCACAAAGAGTATAAGAAAGTAAGACTTGTGCCTTGAGATCTCTATGAGCTACCCTAACCTGAGCATTCTGTATCATAATACTAAGTTGGTGTAAACTAATTGATTGTATGTATGTGCAAGATCAACTGCCAACTCCTGGACAGATTAGCTCATTGAATGTGACCAACACACTCCTATCCTCTTGATTGTAGTATAAATTGGTCGATGACTTGTTATCTCTAAAGTTACAATGAGCGCAGAGCAAGTAATCTGCGTTTCTTAATTCAGAATTCCAGAAAACTTCATATCTCAAGATGTTGATAGGGTACTTCGATCAAGGCATAACGATCCCGTGCCAATACATTTTTACATGGTTCATTCATGTCAACATCTATTTGAATAAACTGTGTGAATAAATACTAAAAAATAATGTGGATGGTACAATCCAAGAATACACACCTGCAAAGGTCCAATAAGTAGATATATGAGATTGCAAGCAAACTTGGATTTGAAGATATGCCAAGAGTCTGACAACAAGGATATTAGCTAAAAAATATTATTTATCTTGCAGGTTGAGGAAAATGTTACTGCTGCACTTGGATTATCAAGTCTGGGAATCGATCAGGAGCTTTTACATGAGGTTGAAACTATTTTAGAGCCTGTCAAAAATCAGACATGGCCAAGTGGCATCCAATGATAGATGCGGTGTTTTTCTGCATGTAGCATGATGCTGGCTCAGCGGGCTTTTGCTTTTGCAAGTGCAGATTAAATAGAAAAGAGAAAAATGTTAGCTGATAGTGTTCATAATGAAGTATCGATTAGGAATAAAATTGATTTAATTTGACTGAATCGACAAGTTGACTTGCTGCTAGCTTGTGAAAGCAATTTCACTCTCATGGTAAGTAGTGGACTAAAGATCTTGTAAGACTTGTATTTGTCTGGCGACAAGAAATGGAGAGCTTTATTGATAAATCTTTAATTCCACAATGTTGGCTTAATGGAGATTAAATGATTTGTTATAGCTAGACATTCACAAGCAGGAGTGCCATCTTATCATGGGAGTTGCCACATGGATGCAGTCATTGCGTACTTGAATTGTTTGCATGGTCTTTGATTCAAGCTGAATCGCCTACCGTAAAATATGTCGAGGCGCGTGAGGGAAACTCAATCCACGTGAAGAGAAATCTATCACGGTAAAAACCTAAGGTTAAAATATGCCTAAGGCATGTGAGTCGAGAAACTCAACTTGCGTGATGAGAAATCCATCATGGTAGAGGCATAAGGCAAAATGTGCTTGAGGCATACGAGTCCGAAAAACCTAACTCGCGTGAAGAGAAATCTACCATAGTAGAGGCACAAGGCAAAATGTGCTAAGGTGCATGAGTCGGAAAACCCTTCTCGGGTGAAGGGAATCCTACCACGGTAGAGGCATAAGACAAAATACGTCAGAGGCATGTGAGTCAAGAAAACCTTACCCGTGTGAAGAGAAATCGACCACGGTAGAGGCACAAGGCTAAAATGTGCCCAAGGTGCACGAGTCGAGAAACTCGACTTACGTGAAGAGAAATCCGCTACGATGGAGGCCTAAGGTAAAATGTGCTCGAGGCACATGAGTTAGGAAAATCTAACTCGTGTGAAGAGAAATCAGTCATAATAGAGGCACAAAACAAAATATGCTTAAGGCACGTGAGTTGGAAAGACCCAACCTACATTAAGAGAAATCCACTATGGTAGAGGCACAAGGCAAAATGTGCCCCGATTGCACGAGTCAAAAAAACCCAACCCGCTTGATGAGAAACCCATTACGACAAAGGCACAAAGCAAAATATGCCCAAGGTGCATGAGTTGAAAAAAACCGACCCGTGTGAGGAGAAATCTACCATGGCGAAAGCATAAAGCGAAATATGCCTAAGGTGCGTAAGTCGGGAAAACCTAACCTACGTGAAGAGAAATCTACCACAATGGAGGCACAAGGGTAAAATGTGACAGAGGTGCGTGAGTCGAGTAAACCTAACTTGTGTGAATAAAAATCTACCTCGACGAAGGCACAAGACAAAATTTGTCGAAGGCTCATGAGTCAGGAAAATCTATCCCGCGTGAAGAGAAATATGTCACGACGAGGCATAAGGCATAATGTGTCAAGGCACGTAAATAGAGAAAACCCGACCTACGTAAAGAGAAATATGTCACGATAGAAGCATAAGGCTAAAATATGCTTGAGGCGCATGAGTAAGAAAAACTCTAACTATGTGAAGAGAAATCTGCCATGTGGAGGCACAAGACAAAATGTGCATGATGTGTGTGAGTTGGGAAAATCTAACTCATACGAAGAGAAATATGTTATAGTAGAGACATAAGACAAAATATATCGAGGTGCGTGTTAGGAAAATCTGAAATCTGTTATGATAGAGGCATAAGACAAAATGTGTCCGAGGCATATGAATTAGAAAAACCCGATTCACGTGATGAGAAGTCTGTCATGGCGAAGGCATAAGACAAAATGTGTCCGAGGCACGTGAGTTGGGAAGACCCGACCCACATGAAGAGAAACCCGTCATAGCGAAGGCACAAGGCAAAATGTGTCTGAAGCGCGTGACTTGGGAAAACCCAACTCGCGTTAGGAGAAATCCATCATGGCGAAGGCATAAGACAAAATGTGTTCGAAATGCATAAGACAGAAAAACCTTACTTACATGAAAAAAATCTACCATGGTAGAGGCACAAGCCTAAAATGTGCCCGATGCACGTGAGTTGGAAAAACTTGACCCTACCTCCGTCCAAGGCACAAAGGCCGCAAGGAGATTGGGAGGTCAAAAAACTCGATCCCACCCGGCCAACATGCGCGCCCTTCGACGCCACGAGGGATAGGTCAACAATTGATCACCTCCAACAACGTTAGGGAGGCAATCCTAAATGCACTTGTGTCAGATAAACAAAAAACCGCACTTCGAACCCCTCTCGCAAGAGCCCTAAAGCACTCTTGAGGGGGGGAACAAATGATAAAGAGTATACTATTTGCTAATAATCATTTGACATGTAGCTATCACGTGGAGTCTTTGGTGGAAGGAAAAGATCTAAGCCACGTTTCACCTGTTTGCCCGCATAGACAAAAGTTCAAAGCAAACAATTCGAAGTTGTCCTTCCTCCCACCCTGTCGCCACGTGGAAAAGAAGTACAAGGGGCGATTGTTCGAGGACAACTAGAGGCTGCCTCCCCGTAGAATATTCTACGAAATATTGTGCCTCTTTGTAATCGGGTATAAAAATTCATCTTCAACATGATGAGTAGGGGACTTACTTTTTTTTATCTCACGTACACACTCAAACATGTCGAGTTATTAACTTGGGCTTATGAGAGATTGAATTGAAAAACCTCTTTCAATTTCGGTCTTCATTTAGATGATACCTCGAAAGCTCAACGTTTCCATCTCAAAGGTTGTTCGAACCACACCACGTCAAACTAACTAAAACGTCAATAATATTTTCTTTATAATTTGGATAAATTAACCCTCAAATAAAACCACTCATAATACGAAAAAAAATGACTAATTATCCATTCATTCAAAGCAAAAATAAAAAAAAAACTCTAATAATTTCTCAATAAAAAAGAATCTGGAGATTTTTTTTCGATAAATTACCAAAAAATATATACACTTCATTTTCCCCATATACTAAAGTTGGCAAGACTACCACCTTTCACGTCAATTGTCAAAAATAGAAGCAATGACGATGTCACCAGCCCAATTCCAAAACCTTTTTCCAATAGTTTGTATGGCTACAACAAGATTTACAGTCTCCGATGTGTTTTTTTATGCACGATCATAAACCATAACAAAGTTATAGCATCACCCTATATAGAATCTTTCTCTCCCGAGGCCTTTCTTTTTGTGAGCTCCGCACCCAGCAGGAGCATGTCACCTCGGGCATCAACAGGACTTTGCATTCCAGGCAGCCTTTGGCCTTCGTAGCACATCAATCAATCAAATCCAAACTAAGAACCACATCACCCAATGCACTATGAGACCGATTGCGGCAATTCTCCACCGTAGGTGCATCATAACAAGCATATAAGGATATAAAACACTCGAGAGTAAAAAAGAGTACAACAGCCGCAACAAAGTGCTCCACTCCGAGGATACGATGAAACTGAAGCTGATCCATCCTCCACTCTGGAGCATAAATTATCATTCATGATATCAATCAAAATCATCGAGGAGTCTGCTGGGATGTTTGATAATCCACCAGACCATGGATGTCGCCTCTGTTCACCTTCAAAAGTCAACTGTGATCCTGGAAGCCTGTCAAGTTCCCCCTCAAACAAGAAGGAACCTCACAAAACATCCAGCTGCCTGACAAAAACAGGAAAAAGCAAAATACAAACTTCCTACCACCATCCAACATGTTTAAAGTTGCATATCCAGAATATGCCATTTAAAACACAATCGAATATAGCATTTTATTTTCACTTTTCCCTCTTCTTCTCTATCACCTTTCTTTTCTTAGTCTACTCACTTTAGTGTTGGGGGGAAAGGAGAAAAGGGGTTGGAAGGGAAGGAACACACCCGAGAGCTATAGCAGAGGCACCAACTTACCCATCTGCTTCACCAAACACAATTGCAATGATCCTGTGGATGCAGCAAAGACGCATAATCAGCTACCAGTCCACCTTCTTTTCCTGGCTGGTCGCTCGGGCTTTACCTCTGAATCAAGACCAGCTTCGTTGTTGGATAACTGCACTTCGTTTTCCATTTTTTTGTTTGAAGTAATCTCCTTTTCCCGTGGCATAGGAAGTTTGAAGCGCTCACTTCGTCTCTTAAGCTTAGCCACAGTATCTAGGTGGCGATCCTGGTCGTCCACCATCTTAACAGAAACCTGTCCTCCATCAGCACCCTTGACATCTAATTCACCAGCATTATTACTAAGCTCAGTCTTCACTAATTCATCTTCCTTTGCTACATTAACAGCATTGCCTTCAATCTTCTTGCCCCTCGAGGAAGCAGATAATGTCTGAGAGTTGTTGATGGCATCATAATCCCTCTCTTTGTGGCTGGTCCAGCGCTCCAATTTAGAACGTCCCCTCCTATTACCCTGGTTCTCATCATCTGAGACGGGATCATCTTCTCCTTGTTTCTTCACAGTGGTATGCTGTTGAGTGGCCTCGCGTTGTTCATGGATTTGGTGGGAATTCTTCTTGGAGAGAGTCATGGAAGATGTATTGTTGCTTTCCTGCTCATCTGACTCTTTAATATAGACCTGACAAAGGTGAACAATTGAAAAGCAAGAATGCATTCAGCAAGAGAATTAGCAAACGGAAGCAGTAACCTGGCTCAAGCACCATTCCACTTGATATGATGAATTTTGCCAGTATTTGCCATATTGTTCAATTGATTGTAAGTGAAATGAATCAAATTACAAAGAAGCTGATTTTCTGAAAAGTACAAAACCAACAGGCAAGGGAAGAACCATGGAACTCAGAGTAGAAACCTAAACTCTATATTATACTCCATGAAAGCTGAATAGGGAAAAAAATCAACAGTGATGGACATAAATCCATGGAACTCAGAGCAGAATGAATCTATTCTCATGTAAGTGGTATCAGTTTCAGCTTCCTCTTTACCAACAACTGCTACCTGCAGGCTGAGGCAAATAGAAGAGGCTACAGAACTGCAACTATTCTAATTTAACAAAAAACTATTAGGTAAAGTCCTTTAAATAACGTTTTTTTACCTCAAAAGCATGCTGTCGCCTATGAATCACAGATAAGACAACCAAAGAGCTAAGCATTGGAGAGGAATAGCTTGGTCCTTTCAGATCAAATATATAACCAAGAATTTTAGACTATTTTGCATGGGTTTAAATAGGTACCTGGGCACTTGTGTGAGGCAATGTGAGGTGAGGCCGATTGCATCACAGATTCGCCAGGCGACGCGCTTCAGTGAAGCGTGGCCTAGGTGCTCGCCTAAACCCAGGCGTTGGGCGCCTCGAGTGAGCGCCCGACTAAAACAATGCAATCGAACCAAACTATTAAGTCTAGTTCAGTTGAACAATAGCTACTTGGTTGGATTAAGCCAACTATGCTACATAATGTTACTATACTTTGCAAAACCCACCCCTCGCCCCCCTGCGTGACCTCGAACCATAAACCCTAGCGCAATCACTTCCTCCACCATCGACGCTTCCTCTGCTGCTACCTCCATCGTTGACGCACGGGACCAACACTTCCTCTATCGCCGACGAACGAGTCCGAAGGTATAGTTTTTGTGTGCAGTTTCCTCTGCCACCGTTGCTTCTGAGTGCAGCTCCTTCCACCATCGAGGGATAGGACCACAACTTCTTCCGCCACCGACAGACACATTTGAAGCTTCCTTCGCCCATGACGTCACCATCCGTAGCTTCTATTGCCACCATTTCCATCTTCCAAAGCTTTCTCCATCGCTGCTGTTGTTGTCGTCTACAGCTTCCTCCATTGCCGATGCTATCGTCCGAAGCTTTCACCATCCCCGTTGTCATCCGAAATAGATTCATTGACTGGAGCTCTCCTGGCCACCTACACCTTTTGTTATTTTTTTGGAAATATATTTGTATATGTAAGATCTTGGTTTCATGTTTACTAACACGATGTTTAATCATAACTTGCTAAAATTGTTTCGACTAAATGAAATTAGCTTCTTTTTGTCCTAGGACTATCTCTTTCTTGTATATGACAATCGTATGTAAACTTAATTTCATCCTAGTCACTTAATTTATTAAGTTGAAAGGGAGAAAGTGAGAACATTGAGAAGAGAGGGAGAGAGCCAACAGAGCTCCAGTCAATTAATTTATTTCTCTGTCGCTGTTGTCATCCGAAATAGATTAATTGACTAAAGCTTTCTCCAATCAATTTAATATCATATTTTTATTCACATAATCATATTTATCACTTGTATTATGTATTTTTTATATTTTAATATTTCAGAACGTTTCGCTTCGCTTGAGTGAGCGCTACAGGCATTTTGGGACCTTAGCGCCTTTTGGTGCCTAGGGCTTTTTAAATCATTGCTATTTTGAAGATCAAACATAGGAACAGAATTGATTACCTAATATCCAACAAATCATGAAGTGAATGCATTCATTGTCACCCTCTCAAAGAAAAAGGCAAGTAGTTAACATTTTAGAACCTATACAAGTTGATAGTAATTTTTTGTTATAATTTGTTCCATAGCCTTGATTTTATTGAATCTTTTCACAGTTGCACCATACAAACTCATTAGGTATCTTTTAAAATAAAAATAAAATAATATAAGATAGTTGTTAGATCAATGATCTTTTATTGATCCGAGTGTTGGACAGTTAAGAATAACATATATAAAAGATTTCTGTAGATAAGATGAAATGGTTGAGGTGGATGTATGGAGTTACTAGGAAGAATATGTAAAAATTGTTTGTAGCTTTGATCAAAAATAAATTGAAGAATGATTTAAGATGATACAAATATATACCAATGAGACATACAAATGCTATAGTTGGAAGGATACAGTTTTTCACAAATCGTATTGGCAGTGAAAGACCGATGTAGCTGAACGCGACTAGTTCGAATGTTGTGGCTTCCAATCAACTTGTATTTCTATTTATGTTTGCCCATGTGGTTCTGAAAAAGCATAGAGATACAATGGTTCCAAAATAAAATTGTTTCACCAGATCGATAACCTGACTTGACAACCTAAAGACTCATCTTTTTCAGCAACTTTTGAGATAACATTTTTAATCTCCCTTAATAAGTGAAGACCCATGTGTCACTGGCGATGACTTTGCTAAGAACATGTTTCTCAGCTATGCCTTAATGAAAATACTTATTACATGCAAGCTGTCCAAGTAAGCATGGTAAATAGATACAATATGCTCAAAACCTAATTACCAAAAAGGTAGCAGTTACTTCCTTATTTTAAATCAGCTTTTTTGAATTAAAAATGTCTTTCCAAATAGCACAAAATTTTGTGACAATAAACAATTGGCAAAATTTTACAATTGTTCTTGATCAAAAGAACTTTCTGATGGATACATAGGTTTACCTTATCAGTAATATATATTAAATGACTTCAACTGTCTGAAGCATACCTTCTCATTTTTGTGAGAGTTGTGGCGGTCATCATGCTTTCTCTTGCCAAGGCGCTGATTATTCTGATCGTGAGATTTAACATCTTTAGCTTTACTTGTATTTTCTCTATGTTTTTCCCTGTACATCTGTTGGCCATCAGCACTAGGAGGGTGATCAACATATGTATTTAGCTTTTCATGCCTAGAACTTCTTCCATCAGCATTTGAATGTTTGTCATGCACAGATGTATCTCCACGTCCTTTATTTTGTGACATATTATCTTCCCTAGCACGATCTCTCCTTGAAAGCTCAGTGTGACGCCTTCTTTCTTTCTCTTGATAATCTTTATCGTAACTAATAGGTTTTAATTCATCCCTGTTCCTACCATTACCACCCACTGGTTTATCTTCCGTAACTCGTCCACTCCTTACAGTTACCCGCCCTTCTTCTCTTTCCCGATGCATCACTTCATGAGGTTTAAGTCGCTGCCTTTCATCTCTTTCCCTATGGCGCCAGCTATCATCTTTAGGCTTGGAAGATAGGTGATCATCAGCCTTATCTCTCATTCTAGTGTCAACCTCTCTCTTGTGATGTAAGCCATCATCCCTTTCTCGTTTCCTACGTCCAGAATCTTCCCTATCCCTATGACCATGTGAAGTATCTACCTTGTCAGCTTTTCCTCTCAGATATTCTTCATCCCTTTTTCTCTTTATAAGAGGATTATCCATATTCTCACGGCGGCTCATCAATAGATCATCCCTCTCCCTCTGCCTTAAGACTTCATCTCTAGTGTGGCCTCTCCATTCGCCACCTTCTACATGCTTTCTCGACTGATCTTCATCTTTCTGATTCCTGTCAATTGTCCTTAACTTACTCTGGTGCCTTGACATTTCCTCATTGTTTTCCCACCTTATGTCTTCATCTTTGGATCGTCTACCATGCATGTTAGACTCTCTTCTTTGCCATGAACTGGTAGAAGATTCTGATTCCTTTCTCCTGTCGTAACTTCTACCTCGAAGAAGGTTTTGAGAAGAAATAGATGCATCTTCCCTTCCTTTGGAAACAATCTGATTCTTTTCTCTCTGTTGTCTGGCATCCAGACCATCTTCATCTTTTGCATGCAAGTTATGCTCATCTTCCTTCTGGGACTTTTTCAAGTCACCCGTCTGACTTGAATGTCCTTCTTGTATAACTTCACCATTTTCAGCCTGCCTAATACAATCCTTGCTACTCCCAGACTTTTCTCTACTGTTGTCACTAGTTGGAGGCTGCAACTCATCCTCGTAGCCTCTATCCTGCACTGCAGGTTGCTCAACCCGTGAGCAAATCTTTTGCTTCTTGCCAGGGTGAATTAAATTATCATCACCACCAGTCTCACTAGAAATATGAAAGTCTGATGTTACGTCATCCCCTTCAATTTCCACACTATCAACCAGTGCAAGCTTTTCGTCCTGATCATGATATTGTTCTTCAACACCAAGCTCTCTTGTAGTATCATCAGCAACAGCAGGTAATGTTTGAGAATTCTGATTGACTTCAGTGCTATCTAACAGTGTTTCCTTTTGCTGATCACCATTCCTGCTCGAATGAGCACTGCGGCTAGGGATGCTATCGGCAGATTGTTCACGAGCCCTTGAGCGCTTTCTAGATGAAGATCCTTTCAGCAATCTGAAGTAGTAATTACAAGCAATCCCTTATTAATTATATACTCAAAACAGAGAGCTAAATAGCAAAATAACTAAAATATGTCAAGTAAATTCATAGAAAAAATAAGAAAGTAGACAAACTACGATATATGTCATAATTAAGTAAAAGAGGCAACTCCAAACTACAAATTATTGTGTGCAATATTGTATTCTGATTTTTTCAAGTTGCACACCCAATTATCCAAGAATAGGATGAAAAAGCATATAATCCATGTCTTTGATGAATTTCATTACATAAAATGATCTGTTGATTTCGTTGTTTGGAAAAGAGGCATGCCTACGAAGAATTAATTAACATTTCTTGAAATGATTCTCCTGCATTCAAATAGTTTCACTCCATTTATTGGACCATAGACCACATAGACAAACTACTGCATGTATAGATGCAAAAAATTATCACATGTTGCTTCTGATACACCATCTCCTCTGTAGGACATAATCCACACTAGTAGTGCTGCAACTACAGCCAAGAGAAAGCAGAATTACCCAAAGGAACCTTGATCTGAAAGGAATAGAGCTAGATGTCCTACTGTGACAAAATCTGTAACATGAAATTATCTTCACTTTATCTCTATGGAAACTCTAATTCATTCAGGAGATATGCACTGGTAGAACCCATGTTATATATTTGTAACAGATTTAACTTCATTGCTTCTTTCATGGTGCAGCCTCTTCCTGCTGAGCCCATGCTCGTCCATATAAACAATATAGGATTGGTTCAAAATTCACATTGGAAAATGCTCACCAATGGATTGATCTTGTAATATTCCTAAAAAACTCCTTGGTTACTTCTGAAAGCAAATGATAGTTCATCTAAACATTGTGTGAGTCTTCAAATGTGTTTATCTCCAAATGGAACAAAATCTCCTTTTTCTTCTCCATTAGTCAAAAGCTTCTTATACTCTTTGTTTTACCTGTTTAATGTTGCTTCATAGTGCCGATAGAAGTCATTGCACACGTCCTTATTGAATGTAGAAACTTGTCATTTGTTTCAAAGCATCCATTGCCATTTGTTTTAAGGTATTCAGAGTGGAAAATGCTATATATTGGTCAATGGTAAATTCGCATTCTGCAAATTGCACATTAAGTGGAAAGAATATGCATTAAGCTCTGGTAAATGGATTATCAAAACAAGAAAAGAAAAGAAATTCAAGGAATGGACTTGTTTCAACCAAAAAAGAAAACAATCAAGGAATGGATTTTTTTTTCCTTTTTGCTCACAAGCAAACAACAGGAATTCAAGTAACGTATTCTTTATCTCACAATAAATGTATGATTGATCATGAGGAAAGTATCGATTAATGTTTACTAGGTAAACCTTCAATGGTCAAAACGCAAGGAAGCATGATTTACTAATAGCATCACTAAAAGAGAATAAATTAAGTGATAAATGCATATCCAAATGCGAAATTTATCCTGCATTGATTACCAAACTACAATGATCCAACGAGGACACTTCAACAAAGAACTACCTCGGGGCTCCTGTGTTATTAAACTTTAACACCTGAAATAGTATGTTTTCCAAACTAGTCTTTAGTTGCATTCAACAATACCAACTTTGGAAAAACTGAAAGCATCAATTCAAAAGAGATTTTCATTCTAACTGACAATATAAAAGAAACTGCTTAGTTTATCTGCCTAAGCATGCCCAGATTTTGTCATGCTAAAACTATTAAAAGTGTACCCATTTACATATTTGAACTACATATGAAATGCAGCAAGAATCAAAGAAGAACTCCACACAATCCATAAGTTCGTTTTTCTTTTCTAACTTTCTGGTATTTGCCAAATAAATTAAATACGTCACAAAATTGAAGTTTATAAAACAGGACAAAAGAAATACAAATTCCAGCCCATTTTACAACTATAACATACCTTCCCCCTTGATGTATCCCAGATGCTCCATCAACAGCAGATACAGGACTCCTTGTTCTAGAATCTCGACGGTATTCAGCAGATGAATCTGAAGGCAAGGGCAATAACTCATCTTTTTCCTTCGCAAAGGGGACTCTCTTGATCATTTCCTTGTCCCTAGTGCTGGAAGTATGCGGAATGCGATTCATATATCCTGATACAGTATTCCTGTCATCCTTTTCATCTTTATGAAAACTTCTACCACAATCTCCTTCAACATCCCTCTCTAATTGCTCTGGCGTACAACTGTACATTTTTGGGTCATCAAAAGAGTCCTGCAACACAATCTGTTCAACAAGCATTTTTAGTATGGTGGTACCTATTATTAGAAAGTAGTTGATATCATAAATGAGCCTAGGATAGTTACATATCATAATTACATTCACCAGCGAGTAACATTAGTAGTAGATATCACAAATGAGCTAGAGCAGTTGACATACTCACAAAACACAGGATGTAGATACTACAAAGTTACCTCTATAACAGCATCTGAATCACGGATGCGAGGAGGCCTGGTGTCAATAGAGGGCAGGCGTTCACCATAACCACCCTCAACCTGTATCGCTCTTCCAGTTGGCTAACAAGGGGGAAAAAAAAACATTTAATGATAATGAGACAAATAATGAAAACCAAGAAAATTTTAAAAGAAACAGTCAAAGAGCATCAATATTATCAGTTCCCAACTAAGAAGTAGCAGTTGAGAGTAATAGCATATCATACTAATGGCGCCCTCATAACTGCAGGTCCTCTTCCTTGGCCAGTAAATTTTATTTCTTCATCATCTGCTTTTACATGTCCACAATTAGCAGAGATATCATGGCCTGCTGCAGCTGCCAACTCAGGAGGTAAATCTGGATCATACTCCTGAAAGCAGATTGATAATTTATCAGCAACTAGAGCTTAAGCATGATTATAGAAGATATACTTATGTCATTACCTGCTCCGACCGGCCACTCTCATATACACGAATCTTGCTTTGCATGGTTGACTCCAAACGAAGTTGATCCTGAAAATTCAAAAGTTTAATTACAAATCAATAACAGCACATTGTTGCTTTTAACAACTTATAAGGAATAACAAGATTTTCACTTGCCAGTCGCTTGCAATAATCCTTCCACTTGTCTTCATCTAATCCAAAATTAAAGAAATCTGAAATATCAACTCCAGGATGTTTCCATGGTTTTTCCTCAAAACTCTCTATGTCAACATCAAAGATCGTCCTAAAAGTTGCAACATTTGAAAACATCAAACAGTACTAAAGAAGTCTATATTTTTTCGTCACTTGCGAGAATGAGTTCATTTGCAATTGTAAGCATGCTACCCAGCTAAATATATAATTAGCAGAAAAGAAAGATGATTTGAGCACTAGATGTGTAAAATTATTGAACTCAATGTCTTCTTTGGTGGGCAAGCATTACGGGTCAAACACAATCATATTAGAACCCCTGCTTTGAAACATATGCTAAACACAACCAAAAAGCAAGTTCTGTAAGATCCCCTTCTAACCAAACAAGTCCTTGATTTCCAAGTAAGTTCTGAGATGGCATAACAATCCTGACTATGGTTGTCACGCAACACGGAAGTTTTATAATCCTTATTCTATGTATCCTCAGAAATTACTAACTCAACAAATCTGCAACCACGAGAACTGGAAATTCATGCATATTCATGTGTATGTCAAAGATTAAATATAATGCAGTTGTATGGGGATGACAGCAGAAGTTTTCTAAAAATGAGCAGAAGTGAGTGCCTGCATAAGCATACTCGTCCTTTCTTCTTCTGCCTCTAGTTAACTTCTAGTTGTGTTTGTTCTCATATATTACAATTTCAGACTATATGATATCACAATCTTTGATGTTTGTATCTCTCAATTTTAAGCCCTGGTCTTCATTAATTAGCTACCTTAAGTAGATGCCTAAAATTAGCTGCACCAAGGATCAATAACAAAAAGTAGCATTATTCATTGCCAAGAAAACAATAAAGTGGTTTGGATTTTTGGAAATAAACTCTTAGACCAATATAAAACAAATAAACATTTAAGAAGCTTACTTGTGTGAAGGTAGGGTGAAATCCAGTCCACCGCCACTGGCACGGGCTGAACCATTGGCCCAACCAGGGAATCCAAAGTTTGTGTGGTAGCTTTTGGGGGCACTTGGAATCCCCCTACCGCTTGCAGGCCTCCAGTCACCTCTTCCATGACCAGCTGTAGGACCTGAGACAAGAGAAGGGCGAGCAGCACCTGGCGGGCCTAATGCGCCAGCAGCTGGATCCCCAGGTAAAGGTGCAGCACCAGGTCTAATGTACTGCATAAAAAGAAAGACTAAATAAGCTAAAAGTTTGTTGATGTTATAAACACCACCAATACAAACACAAATGATTACTGCAACTGTTCTTAAAAAGAATTTGACTTTACTCTTGGCAACCTTATCCATCAAATAATGATTAAGAGGCCCTATCCTCCACAAGTAATGGTTTTACAGTATCGCTTAATCACTGAATCCTATCAAGTGCAAACTCTGTTGATCGAAGCTTACAAGATTGCAGTCTTCCAAAATTGTGTTTAACAAGTGCGAAGAGATGCATAAGGGGCATGGAGACAACTCATAATGGGACAAATTTCGTTTCAAGTTGGCAAGGGTTCAGATCTCACTAAGGAGACAATTTTTCACAAGATTGTACAGATTAATCAAGTAACTTATGATTTCAATATTCACAGATTTCTAGATAGCGATCAAGCAACCAGACAAAGCACATTGTCCTACATGATGCTGGATAATTAAGAATATATAAGTTTAAATGGCCAGAGGAGATTAACAACATATTTTGAACCCTAGCAAACAAATTCTGTTAATTCAGACACTCATTTTATTAACCATTTTTTCTATCATTTCATAAATAATAAGTAGCATGCAGGAAGAGACAGAAATCATTTTTCTAATTGTCAAAAAGATATTAGCTATACACTCTCAAGCATTAAGTAACATATAGGACAAGCAGCAAACAATTTACGCATGCATACCAACCTTGTACATTGAATGATGTTGTGTGTGAATCCCATGATTGTTGTACCCAATTCTTGCCCCCGGTGCAGTTCCAGTAGCACCAATCCCTTTAGCCGCATCTACCATCTCTTTTCTTTCCCCTTCCCCAGTTGGCTGAAGAGTCTCCTCACCCCAGTCTTGCACCTCCATAGCTGGAAGGTGGTGATGCTGGTCCTCATCAGTGACAATAACCAAATCCTCTTCTCCATCTTCATCATCCTCTTCATCAAACTCAACTATATTACTCCTCTCGGCACCAGGCGGTCCATGATTGCTATCGTTGAGCACGATCTGAAGATCATCTTCACTATCACTATCATAATCCTCACTTTGTGAAAGCTTCCCCATCTCGCTGTTCATGCCAACAAGAGGTCCAGAAGGGGCTGGTCCAGCTGAGAGTCCAGGAATGAGCGGAACTTGATCCAGATCGCCCAAATTCTCACCTACTCCACCTACAAACAACCGATCCCCGTCCTCTTCCGGCTCTTCCGGGGCTGCAGACCTCTCCGACTCACCGATTTCACCATCCCGATCAGGAATCCCCGAAACCCTAGCTTCCTTCTCGGCATCCTCCAAAACCCTAGGCTCGCCATCTCCGCCCACCGCCGGGCGCGATGAGACGGCGTCGTCCTCGTCATCCCAATTATCTGGTGGATCCACGGCCGGAGGCGCGCGGCCGAGCATCCAATCATCCTCACCGTCGTCTTCAGCGGCGGCGGCGGCGGCGGCGCCCGAAGATAGGGCTTGATGGGCCGTCGATGGGGGTTCGACGGCAGGGTCGGCGCGAGAGGCGTCGAACAAGAGCCCGTCCTTGTCGCCATCCTTGACGCCGCCTTCAGAATCGTCTTCCTCAGCGAAACGGAGGGGATCGGGGCGACCTCGGAGGGATGACGCGGAGGACGAAGACTGCGGCTGCGGCTGCGACGGCGGCAGAGGCGCAGCGACCGCGACGGGGTAGAGGACGTCGGTGTAGAGCTCGCCGAACTCGTCGTCATCCTCCATATCGAAAGGGTCGAGAGAAATGGGAGAAGACGAAGAGCGTCGAGGCGGCGTTTAGAAAGAGGGGATCTTCGGATTTCAAGCAACGTTTTGGACACCCGCGAAGCTGACCCAAAACGCCACCCAACCCCGTTTTGGGTAAAACAATGCCCTCTCCTCATACCCTATTATTCCATGAATAATAATAATAATAATAATAATAATAATAATAGGTGGCTTCGGAGCTGCTTCTTTGGTTCACCCAAAGAACGCATCGAGTCGAGTCTGGTCGACCAAACTAAAAGGACTTTATCGGAAAATTACTTCAAAAATATAAAAGTAGTTAGTTGCAAAAGGAGGATTAAGACGCTTCCTTAATACATGTATGTAAATATATTGTTCCTTGTAAGTTTCAACATCACAACAACAAAGCAGCTATCTACTCATTAATGTTAGCCGGTCATTCTACTGAGCTGTCTGGATTCGAGTTCATCCAACCTAATCTTAGCCAGTCAAATCCCAACCTAAAAATCCTCCAAATATTATCCTACCAATAATTCTTTTCATACAATGGGGAATGAGATGTCCTCCCTCCGATATCCCACGAATGGAATCGATTAGATTAGTTTCACCGACTTCATTAATATTATGATGACGCTTTTGCATACGGGAGATTCATTTTATAAGTATTTTTTATTCTTATTTGTCTCCTAGTGATTATAGAGACCAAGTAGTATAATCAAAGAGAATTCTTTTTATCTTGTACAAAATCTAATGATATAAAATGCGAGTGACATATCGTAAGAGAGTAGGCGTTCGATAGAGAGGTGGTGTTTTATATATCCTTCTTTAATATGAAGAATGATATGTAAAAGAGATACGAGTAACGTGTTTGAAACGGGAGAGTGGTGCTTTATCGATATTGTCAAATATAAAAAAACATAAAACAAGATAATTATATGATTTTGCTAATAAAAAATAAATCTATAATATACATTACAATCATATTATGATATATTACCATGATTCTTATGATTGAGAGACCATGACAACATATTACCATAACTCATATAATTCAAAGAATAATGACAAGATTATTATTATAATTTATTTTTCTTCCTAATTTCATCTTAATATCATTCTTACTAATATATTCTCATGTTGCCATTATAGATACTAATTTGGATCAAAGAAGAAGAAATTATTGGTGAGACAAAATCTTGGTGAGAGCACCTAAATTGAACTATGAGATGACTATGAATTTGCGGAACACAATCAACTCTGAAAGTAAGTTTAGGTAAAAGTGTCAATCTATCTATAAGAAAATTTAATTTTCATAAGAAAAACATGATGAGAAATATGTTTTTATGATCAAATATTTAAAAGAATTATGATTGAAAAACTATCTAAGAAAGACATGATTTTGATTTGGTTTCCAAAAACCCAAAATTATATAATTTATTATCATAATTATGAAGGATCCAAATAATTTTTAAATGGTGAAACCATATTAATAATAAGAGTGGGCATCTAATTAATATGATATGTTGTTATATGAAATATGACTATAATTAAATGAACAAGATGATAAGATGAGAGATTTCATTAGTCTCAAGAAAATTACAAATGTCTGAGAATTCACCACCGTTATTAGAATAAAATAAACTTTTGACAATGACTTGAACTTATGAACAACGATGAAGACTTTAGTTTTTTATTTCATTGAAAATAACTAACAGATTGCACTAGTGAAACTGATGAATTAATGATGAAAATTTTATAATTCAAGGGGGTGAATTACTGATGGAAGATGATATAGAAAATAAAAACTTGTGTATTTTGGTATTTGCATAAATTAAGAATGTCGAAAGGATAATAATAAAGGTAATTTGAAGAATGAAAAGTAGGACTTAAAACCCTAAATGATTATATCATCATAGAACAGAGCTTGATTTTTATATGAGCAAAAATTAGATATGGATCAAGATGGTGCAACTGAACACTTATACACTTTGCTATGAGATGTTAATGCGTTCGCAACAAATGATGAAAATTAGAATAGAAACATTATTTATGGAATATAATTTTGATACGGCTAACATGTTAGCCCCATACGTCATGCAACTGATGTGTCAAGCCCACTTGAATGACACATCAGTTTTGCAGAGAAGATACATCAATTTTACATGATCATTCAATCTATCCCTCGTAGCCAATATGATAGGGGTACTCAGTCGATCGTTTGCCACCAACTCAGCTAGCCACCCGATAAATGTCATGTGGAGAAAAATATACAATTACAGGTCTAATGCAAGATAATGATAGTTAAGGTCGAATGCCACGACTCCATTATTACACTAACTATATAATAGGATAACATAACTATCTTAAGACACAGCACATCTCTAAGTTTGATTGATTTGACCTATCCGACTGGGTCACTAACTTAATTTTTGTAGGGGTTGTACATCTGACTGACACAGGGGTTGTACATCTGACTGAGATGTACCCAATATAATTTTTGTAGAGGTTGCGATTGTTGCAATTGCGATTGTTGCGATTTGTTGCGATTGCACCCAATATAATTTTTGTAGGGGTTGCGCATCTGACTACATAGGGAGCTTTAACTTGAGTAGTTCAGATTGAAATCAAGTTGGATTTGCTTCAGCTTCCAAGTCAAACAACCATAATCTTCTCTAACAAATTTAAAAACATAAATTATATTTTTTACCACTATCGACGATTCTTAAATGATCATAAATTTATTTTTCCAAACGATGAGTCTAGCTCAAACCATCACACATGTCGAAGAATTCTTTAAACTCATTCATCAGAGTTCAAACTAATCCAAACCATAATCCCTCTTCTCTAACAACTAGCACGGCTAATGATAGAATAAAATCTGATAACTCATCAACCACAAATAAAGGTTTATAGTGCACCTTAATCAAAATCAATATCTTGAGCATGGAACTCTAGATTTTTCAAGCCACTAACTGATCCAATACCATTATTGTCACCTCGAGAGGCTATCATCCCACCCTACCTAAGACGAATCCTACCTTACACATTGACAAATGTCTCGAGGATATGGGGTATGAGATCCAACTCAAGAAAGAGCTTAACTAAGTTGATTTCCAAAATCAATCTCCCTTACCCAACTAACATAAGTGGAGCTTATTCCTCTTAACCTTTACCCTCTAAATCTTTTTCATGAGAATATGCTAGGGAGTGATGCTCTCATCTTCTTCATGCCACTGACTCAACATTCGGACAATTGACAAAGGAGTTCAAGCTCAACTTCTAGTTGTCGATGTCCCAAAAAATACAGACATATAACTTTACTATGAGTCAAACGAGGAGTAAACGAGTCTTTAGTCAATTACATTGCAAGATTCTAACAATGAGGCTTGACAAGTAATTGACCCATCCCCTTTCTTCATGCCTCCTTCGACAATCTCGTATAGGCTGTTTGATCTACTCTTAATGATGAATCAACATATAACCAATGAAATCCTTATACCAAGAAAAGATAAAAGAACACTAATAGAAAAGATAAAAGGAAGTTGGATCATCTCAAGAAGTAACATACACCCAAAATCATATCTCATCTCATATATAGGGCATACGTCGTACTCAAAATTCAATTACTTGTGCAACTCGATCTTCCTACTTGTACAGGTCGACCTTCCTAAGTTGATTGTATCTTCGAGTCGATCTCACTTACAAGGCTTCATCAAAACGGTTTCATCTTTGTTGTCGGACCTACTTCTGTCCGTAGCAAAGCAGTAGCAATTTAGAGAGAGAGAGAGAGAGAGCATGTTGTGTTATTGAGCAGCTGTGCATGGATTAGGCTGCCATAGCAAGATAAGGCAGGCATCCAAACCTCTCCCAACCAAAAGGAGAACGAATCACCTCCCTCCGTCGCCGCTTGTCAACCAGAAGCACCAACAACATGAGACAGTCGAGTCGCGAGCCGCAAAAGGCCCACAGCTGAGCTGAATTATGGGCAGACACACCCTACCAATCATAGGTCGAACCTAGCCCTTGTCCTTATGGGTTAAGGTTGGACCAACCACCCAATGCCATCGCCAAGGGGATAAGTAGCAAAGTTTTTAATATATTTTAATCACATAAAATATATCTTTTATATATAATGCATCTATCTTACCTTTAGCAATATGTAATTAATTCTCTATCATTAGGTTGTCATTTTGTTGGTGTCTCGTCAGAGCGATGGAGAAGGAAGCAGTTTTCACCGTCAGGCAACAACTAAGAATGTTGGTACGTCAAAATCACCATGATGTTGTTTCCCTGAAATTAACAATTTATTTTTGGTGAGTGCAAATTCTTCTTAAATCCTGGAAATCATAAATGGTTGATCAAGCAGAATTACGAACAGGGTTACAGTATCCCCCACACCGTTTCGTAGAAACCTGTGTGCTACACGCTGTTTCTTTGTTGGTTTGCTCGGCAGGCGTGAGAATTCCACGTTGAACTTTCGTCGGATGTATAACATTCAGTCACCCTTTGGGTCGGTGACTCTGACGAGCAAATCGATTGCTGCCACGCTGCCACTACTGCTTCGACTTTTCCTGACCTTTCCTGACTCTCTATGCATACAACTTTGATCGCCTTTCCAGATTTGAATTCGGACCCGGGCGTAAATAACTACGAGACTTACCTCCGCTGCGCTGCTAACTCTGCATGCGTTATGCCTGTCAACTAAAGCTGTTCCTTCGCGGGGGAAAGCTGCGCTTGGTTTCGTGGTCTGCGAGGATGGGGTCGACGGAGGAGTTGCCGGAACAGCCCGCCTCGTCGCCGTGTTGGAAGAAGAAGGCGCCCGACGCTGGTTTCTTGGCCAACGTCAAGGACCACCTCGATCAATTCGTCGGGACTTCCATGGATCAACACAGGATCTGCCTCAAGAAGACCATCAGAGGGGTGGGGGACTTCGTCAAGCTTAGGAAGCAAGGCAAGGTAAGGAAAGCTATCCTTTCTTTATCCTTTAATGGATCTCTAGTTTGATGGTCCCGTTTTAGGTTTCTTCTTCCTCCTCCTCCTCCTCCTCGTCGAAGGTTGTCACCGAGAGCAATTCTGCTGCTGAGAACACAGAGACGACGGGAGATTCGCCATAGGACGAGATCTGAAGCGTCCTTTCTAAACCAGACAATATACAGATCTCAGTTTCGTTGGGCCGGCGAACGCATTCTAGCAAAATTGTGTGATGATCTATTTCCTATACTCTGCATGTGTCTGGCGTCATTAACTAGCAAAGAAATAAATGGTTGTCATGTCCCATTAGCTATACTGTTGCAGCATCACGTTTCGTATGGCAGTTTGCGGAGACCAAAGCCTCATATAAATCACAATATTATAGATTATATCCTTACAAAATTTACAGATTTGATATATAAAAGGAGGTGTTGGTTTCCTTTCAAGATCCAAAAAAAGTTGACTTCCTGATTGATGGACAATTACTCATCAAGGATCTCTCAAACTTTGACTACTGGTACTCTACGTTAGGCGTGCTAGGAGCATCTGGGCCGTCGATCAAAGGTCGTCGTGATTAGTTTTTCTTTTCATTTCCATCAACAAAACTGCTTTCTGATTATATTAATTCCTTGGGTTCACTTTTCTAAAGCTATTCATCGAAGAGTTGCACAATAACATATCCACGACAAAACTCGTGGTGATACGCACATGTAGGTGTGTGAGGGTCAGTCAAACGAAGCCTCTTTCGGTGGAAAGATTTCGAGCGACCACGTGAGAAAAGCAAAAAAAGATCGGCGACGAGGAGGAGGAGGAGGAAGAAGAAACCTAAAGGATAAAGAAAGTGGAAAACGAAAGTGTCAAGGTTTCGATAATTCAATCGAAAGTGGATCCTCCTCGTCTTGCATCCGATAACCTTCCACAGATTTATCGGGTTCAGTTCGGGTGATACAGGATCCAGCTCCGTACCGCGCCCGCATGGACGCCGCTTCCGTTTGGCCGGACCGAATCATGCGTGAAATGGCCGAGTTGACGTCATTTGACTTTGTCATCCAGAAGATATTTTCCAGGGCTACTCCCGTCTTTTAACTGCTCGCTGCAGCCGCGATTCATCTCCTCTGCATCGTTCCTAACAATGAGTTGGTGGAAAACCTTTCTGCTCGCTGGATTCGTCTGATGCGTGAGACTTTTGACGAAGGCAGATCAGGGCTTCCCAAGGAGGCGCAGGGATCCACCAGTGAATCGCTGGTGGCAAAAGGGGATTTCTTTTTCAGGGCATCATCGTGTATCTTATTTTTCGGCATTCGATTCGTGAGGAACACAATCATTTTAAAAGGCTTTTCTTTTGGCCTTTTCTTTTCAAATACCATATAGCAAAATCACAGAACTGCGAACACCACGACACACCGTTACAGGATCAAAAACAACGCGAGCCATAAGAAATCGAACACCATAGCAAAGTCTTGATACTAAGATAACTAAGTCTACGATCTAGATAACTACCAAGCCCAGTAAAGCCCGGCTCATTCACCGGCGCAAACGAACGCCTCAGTTCCTCCAGTTGCCGTCGTCGCCGCCCCTCGAGAAGCGGGAACCGCCGTCGCCATAACCGCGTTCTCGCCCGTAACCACCTCCGCCGCCACCTCGGCTGTACCCACCTCCATCACGGCGACCGCCACCGCCACCGCCGTACCCACCACCGCCGTACCCACCGCCTCCGCCGCTACGGAAGCCTCCGCCTCCGCCGCCGTTTCGGCGGTTCTGGGCTTCGTTGACCGTGATACTTCTCCCGTCAAGGATCTGACCGTTCATCCCCTCGATGGCATCCCTCATCGATTGCTCGTCCCGGAAGGTGACGAACCCGAAGCCCCTCGACCTCCCCGTCTCCCGGTCGTTGATGATCTGCGGTCAGAAATACAAGCAAAAAGCCTTCAGATCTGAGATCTAGGAAGGGGGCGAAAGAGATCTAACCACGATGGGTTGGATCTTGGATCAGGACGAGATCTGGACCTTGGAATCGACGATCTCGCCGTAAGCACTGAAGGCTCGCTCGAGGGAGACGTCATCGGTGGACCAGGCAAGGCCGCCGACGAAGCAGCGGTACTCGACATCAGAAGCCGCCATGGAAATGGACCGTAGCAGAACCCTGATGAACAGAACGGGAAAGAGGGGCAGGAGAGACCAAGCCGCCTCTGAAGAGCACAAAAAACCCTAAGGCCCCCTCCATCGTGCATTTATAGAACGGGCAGCAGGGCGACGCGGTAACCTCACTGCGGTGCGGAATATCAGTTCGCCTTCCCTTATCCCTTCGCTGTGCGTTCCGCTCACCGTCCGTGGGTTTACCGCGCTGACGTGGGTGATTTGCTCGATCGGATGAGGATGTTGTCAAACCGTCCCCAACGTTCTGCCCCAGCTGTCTCATCCTACGATGCGGTCCCACGAATAGGACAGCGGGGCCGAATGGTGAGATTTTGGGTATGTCGCCTGAACTGTTACGTTATCGTCCAGGAAGAATATTCTATTTTTCTGTGCAGTGCTAAAAAAGATATTTTTATCGGAAGGTTGACTACCACCGGGCCATCATGGGCTGTATTGGGCCGAACATGATATCAGCGGATATGTGATCTCTTTAAATTGCAGTTCCTTATAATATCACATTCTTGTCATCTCTCTTATCCTACGGATCCCCATGACGCGATGGCTACTGATGCTACAGATCGTAACTTTCAGATGTCGAGTAGAAATATTTTGATCTCTCTGGGAAAAGAGAAGTCAGCATCAGCAGAGTTGACATCAAAAAGCAGCATTCTCAACGATGAAAGGCTCTAGCTTCGTCCAGTGCCATTGGTCCGTGCCTGCCATTCTGGTCCAATCCATGTCTCGCAAAGTGCAAGGAGCATTTCGAGGTACCTTTGGCTCCACATATGCAATCATGCAAGCCCTTTATGTAGAATTGCATGTGAATCGGGAAAAGTGATGGCCCAATGGAAAGAGGAAGACACACATACGTCTTACATTTAAACTTAGTTTTCATTCGTTGGAAAAATCATCTATATTGGTTACATCCCTCTTAAGTATATAAAACAAAAACTCTGTCACATTTGTCGTTGTAGTTAATCTTTGCGGTTGGTAATAGGGTATATTTTGATATCGTCCACGTGGACCTAGGTAATCAGACACAACGATTCAGACGTGAAACTTCAAGTTCGACGTGGCAGGCAACACACACGTGACGGGCAGCTGCTTGTCGCCTCCTCCGTACAAATGACATCATCATGGTACAATCGTCCCGGAAAGCTCGGGACGGCACCACGCGACGGCAATCTGTGCAGGTCGGTTAGCGCTAGCACAGAAGCTTAAGCTGGCTGCCTGAGGAGCTTACCATAGTTAATTGACCATGTACGACCAACTCATTCTCACAAGTATAAAAGCTAAACCTCCTTAATCAGGAGGGAGAGGACTTTTCGTACATTCAACTTACTCCTATTTCACTCAACGCTAACTTAAGCTTTAGAGGGGTCGAGTCGAGAAATCTCCCTCCCGAACTCAACCTGTGTGCAGGGGTTGGCGACGAAGAAGCAAACAACAAGTCTCATAGCCCAACCCAACCCGACGTGCACTTCCGCTTCCCGAGTCTCTACGTGGGCGACCTTGTACATCCGGGATCGGACCGAGCTGTGCTAACTCCTCGGCCATGGCGTAAAAGTTCATCAACAAAGAGGCGTGCCCCGAGTTCCTCGTGGTGGGGCTCGGGGCATGGCTTGGTGCCTTTTGCTGGCTAGGTTGGCTGTCGTGCTGGGACTGGTGGTTCGATCGTCAGTTGATTGGGAGCTAGACTGGTCGAGTGACATGACTTAGGAACTAAGTTGGCCAAGCAACACTACTCAGGTGCTAGACACTTCGAGCTACTTTGCTTGGGCATAAGACTAGCCAAGACATGACTCAAAAATTGGACTGGTCACGAGGGGTGGCTTGGGCATCAAACTGGTCGCGAGGTATGGTTCGGGCATTGGACTAGCCTTAAGGCAAGGCTCGAACATTGGACTAGCCGAGACATGACTTGAACAGTAGACTGGCCGTGAGGCATGGCTCGGGCATTGGACTAGCCGAGACGTGACTCGGACGTTAGACTGATCGCGAGGTGTGGCTCGGGCATTGGACTAGCCGAGATGCGACTCGAACATTAGATTGGCCGTGAGGTGTGGCTCGGGCATTGGAGTAGTCGCGAAGCGTGGCTCAGGCGTTGAATTAGCCGAGATGCAACTCGGGCATTAGACTGGCCATGAGGTATGGCTCGGGCATTGGACTGGCTGTGACGGGTGGCTCGGGCATTGGCTTGGTCGAGCAGCACTACCGGAGCCCATGTTTGGCCAAGAAGCTGCTCGAACATTGAATAGACTAAGCAACGACTAATTACACATGACTAGCCGAGCAACACTGCTCGAGCACTAGGGATTGGATGCCCGAGCAACGTAGCTCGAGCATTGGCTTGGCCAAGCAACACTACTCGGGCCATATTTGGCTGAGCATCTACTCGGATATTGAATGAATGGAGTAGCAACTGATTGTACATGACTGGCCAAGCAACAGTGCTCGAGCAATGGGGGACTAGATTGGCTGAGCAATGTAGCTTGAGTATTGGCTTTGCCGAGCAACACTACTTGGGTCCATGTTTGGCCGAGCAGCTGCTCGAACATTGACTGAATTGAGCAGTGACTAATTGCACATGACTGACTGAGACACACTACTCGAGCACTAGCGATTGGATGGCCGAGCAACACTACTCGGGCCCATATTTGGCTAAGTAACTACTCGAACATTAAATGAACCGAGTGGTGACAGATTGCATATGACTGGTTGAGCAACACTGCTCGGGCACTAGGGACTGGATTGGCCGAGCAACATAGCTTGACCATTGGCTTGGTCGAGCAACACTACTCGAGCCCATGTTTGGCCAAGAAACTACTTAGACATTGAATGAACTGAGTAGTGAAAGATTGCACATGATGGCTGAGCAACACTGCTCGGGCATTGGGGACTGGATTCGCCAAGCAACGTAGCTTGAGCATTGGCTTGGCCAAGCAACACTACTCGGGCCCATGTTTGGTCGAGTAGTTGCTCAAACATTGAATGAACTAAGCAGTAAGTGATTACACATAACTAGCCAAGCAACACTGCTCGGGCCTAGATTTATAACTCGAGCACATGCTCCACTGAAGCAAGCCACTTTTTTAATATGCACACCTTGGGCTCATCTACTTCTGAACTTGTCGTGGCGGGCCTTCTTCTTTCCTCGATCTATTCACATGGGTAGCTCT